CAGCAGCAGCAGAAGCTGCTGCTGCTGCTGCTGCTGCTGCAGAGCCAGTAGGACGAGCAGCAGCAGATCCAGCAGCAGAAGGGACAAGCAGACGTTTTGGCTGTTCCTCTTGCTGCTGCTGCTGCTGCTGCTGCTGTTGCTGCTGCTGCTGCTGCTATTGAATTTGCTGCTGCTGCTGCTGCTGCTGTTAACACTGCTGCTGATGCCGCTAGTGGAAGTTATCTCACTTCAAAGGTCTGTGCCCTGCTGCTGCTGCTGCTGCTGTTTCTGTTGCTGCTGCTGTTGCTGCTGCTGCTGTTGCTGCTGCTGCAGAGGTATTTGTGTGGGGCGCCTGCCCCACAGCCGCACCAACTCCTGCTTCCGCTCCCACTCAGCAGCAGCAGCAGCAGCAGCAGCAACAGCAGCAGCAGCAGCAGCAGCAACAGCGACGGAGACAAGAACAGCCCACTCAGCCCTCCACCAGCCGAAGCAGCATAAGCAGCAAGACAAGCAGCAGCAGCAGCAGCAGCAGCAGCAGCAGCAACAGTAGTAGTAACAGCAGCAGCAGCAGCAGCAGCAGCAACAAAAACTGGGATTTATTCTACAAGCCTCTCCCTGTGCGTTTCATGAGGGTTCATTCATCTTCATCAGGTCTCATTGGGGGCCCCCCGGGGGCCCCCCCCCTGGGGGGCCCCCCGGGGGCCCCGGGGGCCCCCGGGGCCCCCGGCGAATGGCAGCAGCAACCAATGGGCCATGGGGCCCCCTCGCTGCGGTGTATCTCCGTCAACGACTTTGCGGGTGCAGCTCTTACAAGCCAAGGACAGTCAGTACCCTCAAAACATAAGAGGGGGGCCCCCTGGGGGGGGCCCCCAGGTGGGGGCCCCCTGGGCGGGGCCCCCAGGTGGGGGCCCCACCCTGGAGGGGGGGGCCATAGGGCACCGTGACATGGGGTCTTGCTGCTGCTGCTGCTGCTGAGGGCGGTGATGATGATGATGATGATGCCGCTGCTGCTGCTGCTTCTGAGGGTGGTGGTGTTGCTGTTGCTCCTGCTGTGGATGGGGATTTGCTGTTGCTGCTGCTGCTGCTACTGGCTGCTGCAGTTGCTGTTCTTTGCTTTTGCTGCTGCCGCTGCTGCTGCTGCAGTTGGTGTTTTTTTGCTGCTGCTGCTGCTGCTGGGTTTGCTGCAGGTTGTGTGTGTGGCGTTCGGGTGTACGTCCAGCAGAGATGCGTTTAGTTTCTCACGTGGGGGCCCCCCACGCCGCTACCCAGGGGCCCCCCTTCGCTGTACCCTCTACCCAGGTTTGTTAACATCTCCTTTGGGGGCCCCTTTCAGCTGCTGGGGTTGACGGAGGAGGGTCTTTTGTATTCTATACCCCTGAAACCAGAAGCAGGTTCGGCAGCAGCAGCAGCAGCTCCTGCTGCTGCTGCTGCTGCTGCTGCTGCTGTAGTTGCTGTGGGCACACCGCAGCTGCTGCCGCTGGGAGGTGTTGCAGCAGCAGCAAGCAGCAGCTGCCACGGTGCTGCTGCTGTCTCCTTTGCCCTGCCGCAGTTCCCCCTCAGCTTCCCGCTCATTGATTGCAAGCAGCAGCAGCAGCAGCAGCAGCAGCAAGAGCAACAGCAACATCAGCAGGAACAACAGCAGCAGCAACAGCAGCAAGAGCAAGAGCAGCAGCAGCAGCAGCAACAACAACAACAGCAACAGCAGCAAGAGCAACAGCAAGAGCAACAGCAGCAGCAACAACAGCAACAGCAGCAGCAACAACTACAGCAGCAGCAGCAGCAGCAGCAGCAGCAGCAGGAAAACTCGTTTCCTTCTCTGGTGTATCTCTGCTGCAGCAAGCTTGCTTCT